ATATTGAAAAAATTTTATAAGAGTTGTTCTGATTAATATTTACCACATTAAAAATATTAATATCTACCACAATAAGATATAAAATATGCTCGATTAATTTTACTATGTACATATTAATATGTTTTATTGTGCGAAATATTAATCAGAGAAACTCATAAAATTCTTCCAATACCATATTATCCTACGATCATCATGATTTTTAGGGTAAATTCTAAGAGAAAATTCTCTCCGTGTGAATATGTATAATTTCATATATATGTATTCATACATATGTATATATATATATATATATATATATATATATATATATATATATATATACATAAAATTATTTTCGTAAGGCGGAGTAGAAGGGGAAAATTTTCGTTTTCGTTTCAACTCTCTTTTTCAAAATATATAATTCTCGATGACTATACATATACTCATACACACACATGTATGTATACAGAATGACATACGTTATAAAGTTACACTTCTCGCGCGCCTAATATTTATTATTTATTTTCTCGTCTCTTTCTCTTACTATATGTATCGGTAGTTTCGTGTTGTATGCTTCATTCCACAATTTAATTATTTATTTATTTATTTTTTTACATCGTAATGTAAAAGTTGTACATTCGCACGTGCGATGCGACGTAATAGTAGTAGTAAACGTGGGCGAACGACAATGATAAATTCTTAAGAAAAAATGTTTCTGAATAAACTGTCGAAATACGGAAAGTCAACAGTTTTCACATAGTTGACCCTTCGATGATGTGACTCTCACAACCTTCTGCATTCTTTATAATCTTTTTCGTATTTTCATTATCACAATGGTTCAATATTATATTGACTTACATATATGTGTATATATATATATATATATATATATATATATATATATATTTCATAGATAATTTTTTTTTCTTTAACTTCTAGAAGCATGTGAATGTATTATCGATTTTTTCACCCTGAAGGTAATTCTTGTTTTTTTTCTTGCTATTTCGCGACACTATAATATTCACGATTGAATGTGTAATATATATTTATGGTCGTTTCTATAATTTTAATTTTTAACTATATATTTCGTTTTTTATGACCAGTCTAAGCTCTCGCTGGAAGCGATTCACATTTTCTTCACTTTAAATTAAAATTTTCTACCAGTGATAGAATTATACATATCTAAATCAATATAGGACTGCTTATAAAATGTAACAGATTTTTATAAATTATGAGAAATATAGGAAAATCCTACATAGTCGACGGGCTATATTTTTTATCAAAAAATTCTGTCAGTATCTTTCTTTCGATTGATTAACGATTAATGCACTCTACATTTTGACAGATTGCGCGCGTCAAGTTCTAGATTTATAAAAAATAAATGTTATCAATAATCGTCTTCAAGTACGCATGTCGTGTAAATAACGTAAAGCATCTTTCTAAAAAAGTGAATATTGCATATAATACAGATAAATACATACATACTCAATTTTGAAGATATTGTATTCGGTATTAGAAAAGTAAAGTGTATTAATAAAGAAAACAATTATAATTAATTAATCACCTTTCCCAGGTCCAAGAAAAGAATTTGTTTCTTGTCGAACTTTGCACTGAAAAAAAATGTATCAACTTGACTAAACCTTTCAACTAAATTACTATTTTGTTAATTGAACATATATTAGTATTTAAGTTAAATATACGTGTTAGATTTAACATGTTATATTTAATTTAAATATTTTTATGTTTAATTAACAAACTAATATTTAGTAGAAAGGTTTAGTCGAGTGAATAAATTTGTTTTCAATGCTTTATCAGCGGAACAACACACATCCACAGTAGTTTGTCGCCTTAGTTATCTGTACACGTTCACAAACGTACTTAAGTAATAACGTCAATTGCGTTCTATTGTTATGAATATGTATCGCGCGCTTTCAAATTTCCTTTTTTGGTCTCGTTGACGCGCACAAGTGGACCTCATCCGCCCACGCTTGGATACAAATCCTCCCTCTCTGTCCTCTCAAGTATACTCTCATGGACGGCGAGATATAAAACGATGTAGCATTATTACAGATATCGTATATGACACGTGAGTATCCGAGGAACGCTAAATCCTGAGTATCTAAAAATTTCAAACGAGTTACGCGCGATTATATAGCGACAGCTCTTCGATCCTTCCATCCTTAGTAACTTCATCGTCTAATGATTAATTAAACATCTTCGACAATCGTGTCCTTTTACGGGAACAAACACCCTCTACGTAATAACACTGAGTTTTTTGTGCATGGTTTTGATATCGTAAAATATACAGTATTTCGCACAATGAGGGTATAAAAGAGTTCAGAGTTACAGAGAAGTTGTTTTTTATCTTTAGCTTTAAAATGATATATAGGGGATGTGTGTATTATATATATTCGCGATAGATGTCCTGTCTTTATAATCTTAAATAATACACACGCATATTATATATACTTAATATAAATACACTCTTACACATATATTGTACAGGATGGCTCATTTTATACATATAACGCATTTCGATTTTGTTGAAATTGAATTGGAAAAAAGTTTCAAATCAAAACTTTGAAGGAAATTGAAAAATGTTGTGCTCACGCATTTTAGATAAAAATTTTGTTTAAAACTTTTTCTATAAAAAATCAATAATTTCGGCGAAATTGAAATGCACCATCCTGTATGTGTACTTGGTTTTTTTTATTACATTCACAGATGATCCAAACAATTTTAGACAGAGCTTTCATCGGTGTACACTAAACAGCACACACATACACACACTCTCTGTCTATACAATTAATGTATAATAAATACTGCACTGTCCAAAATAATTAAAAAGGGTCACTCTTTCAAGAAAATTGTATAAATTAAATGAGATAAGATAAATAGCAAGCGCACAAATAAATATTTATTATTGTAATGAACTCAATTATAATAAATAAGCGAACAAATCTCTTTTTTTTGGACCATCCTCAATGCAAAAAATATATAGCTTATAAAAATTGTATAAATTACAAAGAAGGAACATAATTAATACTAAAGAATTTTGTTCTTTAAAAAAAATTTCACGTTGAATATTTGGTATACATGTGAAAAAGTGATCCTCTTAATCGTTTCAAACACAATGTGTTATTTATGCCCGTGTAATATAAAAGGATTATAATAAAAAATTGTGTTGCACGGTGAAATCTAACTCGACATTAATTATATACGTGACGTCATTTTATGACACTCTAACAGATTGCATGCTAATAGCTGCTTGAAAGACTTGCAGAGCACTTGTGTAACACATATAATACTCAAGAAGTAAATAACACATCTCAAGTTATTATATTCAAAAGATAATCTCAGATTTCTTTTTGTATAACAGCAAGATTTGTACGTTATACTACGATTTTGCGCGCAGTATAATTAATTGCACGTAATAAGGCTGCCTCGATACAATATATTTATGCTAATATGTCAATAGCGCGTGTCCATCCGTAAGAGAAAAATTATCTATATATGTAACAAAGAAAGTTGATAATTCTATATATAGAAATAGCGTGAAGCGTGAGAAAGCTCTAGTACATTGCAAAATAACGAAAAGAGTCATTTATTTTGTGCAAAAATATGCATGTAAAAAATGTGCCGCGCGAATTAATTACTCCCTTTGTAATTAACATACAGATTATACGCGTGATCTGTGTACAAGAGAGACGCAAGAGTACAAAGAATCGAAATTTTTTCACAAGAGTGGGAAATAATCCGAGATTAAGAATTTGAAAACCACATAACATTAATTTTTAGCATATATAGATTTAGCATACACGTAGAGATGTTTCCTTAAATGTATATAGATTTTCTTTTACATTTAAACACTAATGTAGGCCATATTCTTTTAGTATATAAAAAGGTCTGATATATATATATATATATATACATATATATATATACGCGCGCGCATGCGTACATATGAGAATTTAAGTGAATTAAATTTATATGAAAATATCAAAAAGAATAATAAATTAATATAACAATATTAATAATAACAGATAATGTATAAATGGATAATTAGGAATAAAAAGTAATAATATTATAATGATTTTTATATAATATTATTTTCATATAATATTGGCATCCAAAATATTTTAAATCAATAACAATCTAAATTATATGTGTAAGATATAGTTCATTTTTTATACGTTTCTTTTATTCATGGATAGGATAATAAACAAATAATTAGCATCACAATGCTTTCAAATTTGAATAATCTAAATGTTTCAGTTTTATTCATGTCGAATACAAAGTTTCAGTTTCTTTTTATATTAAAAATAATATATGCATATATATATATGTGTATGTATATGTGTATATATGTGTGAATATATGCAAGTAAAATAAGTTGCAAAAAAATAGAGAAATAATTCTTATTAAATTTAGATTTAACTAAATTTTTAAGATACCCCTGATATAAAACTGGTGATAAATAATTTTTAGAATAATTAACAAATTGATGAAATAATAAAAGTCATTTGTGTCAAATATATACACACATACATGCCTTTATTTATTTTTTATAAACTAAAGACGATCTTATTAACGCAATACTTCATAGTTTTTTTTTATATATCAGACCTCTATGTACAAAAATCAATAATTGATAGCAAAGACAATTGCCCCTTATATTAAATATTTTTATACTTCTTATTCAGATTTTTTTATATAACTTATTAAATATCAACAACTAATGTATCTTTGATAATAAAGCGAGAATCTTTGTTAACATAGGAATTAAATCAAGCGACATATTTATATAACTGTGAAACGATTAACTGAAATGAATAACTGAAATAATATAAACAGTCATTAAAAAATAAAACGTTTATCTATATAATAGATATTTTATAATTTTAATCGATTTTCTATCATATTTTAAGACTTATCTAATAATCGCGCGTATCGGTATTAAAATTTTTGTCGTAATTGTTAATTTATTATTTTATAATGCGTAAAAAATAAAATGTATAATACTGTTTCATTTTTATTAATTGTGCAAACAATTAATATAATCAAATCTCATAAATGTATTCCTAGTATAGAAAAATGGAAGGGTTTAATCACACAAGGACACACATTTAATGTGCTTGATTTTAAAAAATGTGATAAAATTTGCGAAGAGAATATTTCGATTATAAGAGAAAAGGAAAACGATACTGTAATAAAATAAATACGCTTAAAGCTATTTGAATTAATAGCTATTTGAAAAGTGAGCTCGATATACGGTGAGTCGATATATGAAACCATTATAGTCATTTTATGACAAAGATCTCTCTTACATGGAGAAGAGTAAAAACTCCTCTAATATTATGCATTGTGCAATAAAAAACGCTCAATTCCATTTTTTTTTCAATGGTAGAAAATTGATGTGTACGCATGGGTAGAGACGTAGTCTCGATTTATCATGTAGAGGATAAACAGTCAATATCTCTATAACACTCTTTTTTTGCCACAGATATCGTAAATTAATTCTGAACTATATATTCGAAAATTCTAATTTAATTTTTGCGATACAGATGTTAGAGTTCTCTCGTTTCGCATTGGCACGCTCTCTGTGATATTTATTTTTCACAGATGTCACATCCACAGAGTACGAAGCAAAAGATACTTCATAGCAATTATTAAAGCTATGACATAAAGCAGGAGGAGCAAAAGGTAAAAAGATAGTCACAAATACCTTATACTGAGGAACAGTAGTCGTTCTTTTTGATGAATCTCCTAAACTCAAGGATGTACTCTCTCAGAAATAAAGGCATTGCACGATTACGATGCAGCATCATGGTCCTTAATTCTTACACAACTATATGTGTACATGTACTGTCTTCTTAACTTATAAAATGTTACATTTTTTCGAACGCCGTCGTTTTCTTTGATTTTTCTCCAATTCAGCTGGTGGTTGATTTTTGATAATACGAACAACCTTGAGCAAACAAAATAATATATTAATCGAATAATATAAATGAAAGTAACAGTGTACACATAATTGTGTCTTATCTATAATTTTTACCTCGTGAAACGCAGCATCTACATTTAAGGGGGGATCTTTGGCAGAAGTTTCAATATAGGGTATGCCCAAACGATGAGCCAATTCTCTTCCCTGTTCCTCTGTGACTTTCCTCAAATGCACTAGATCAACTTTATTGGCCACCAACAGCATAGGATAAACATCTCTGTCTTTCACTCGCAGAATTTGAGTATGAAAATTGACAATGTTTTGATAGGATTGTTTATCGGTCACGGAATATACCAAGAGAAATCCATCACCTTTCCGCATGTATTGTTCACGCATAGCACTAAATTCTTCTTGACCGGCTGTATCCAATACTATAAGAACACACAGAGATTCGCTATAAAAATCACTCTTAATGTTTCATATTTCTGATAATCTACCATCAATTTCTTAATTATTAAATCTTAATTACAGAAAAGAAGAAAAGCAATACAAATCAATGCAGCGCAATGACAATAAAGTATTCAGATATTTATATGGAAAGAAAGAAGTAAAAACTTTACCGTCCAAGATACACCATTGGTCATCCACCTCCGTGTGTTGAATATAACTATCTTCGATAGTCGGATCGTAATCGGCGACGAACAGTTTCTGAAAAAACTGTATCGTAAGGGCACTCTTGCCGACCCCTCCATCTCCAACGACGACCAGCTTAAAGGTCATAAGGTTGTCATTATTAGGAGGACGTGTCATTCCGCCTCTTGATCGTCCACTCCTTCGCCCGCTGCTGTTCCTGCGTCTGCCTATTCTGCCAACTCTTCTAACGTGTCTTTTTGGCAGTGCGACTGCTCGTGGGATGGTAAATCGTTCTCGTCGTCTCGAGAGATTCTGCGACAATCAACAACAGTTTTAGAATATCCCGCGCGAATGCTCGGAACAAAAATGCGTAGAGATATTTTCGGAGCAATACTTGGCTGACGTTAATTAGAATTATATCGTTTACAAAACTCAACGAGCGAAATCGTCGACATTAACGGGGTAAGGTGTGTCAATTGCGCGTGCAACAGTGCGAGGGTAAACCTGTTCCTGGAGAGCTCCGATCTCTTCGTCGAGAGAGACGTCAAGCTGTGCGATTTCACGCGCAATAAACGGGAGAAGATTTTGTTTCGCGCGATAAATAATTCTGCCGGTGCAACGAGGCTCCGATCGCTCTCACCTTACATGATCTGCCACTTCTGCTTCTCCTGCTGGCAGCTGTCAGTTCGCAGATATGTACCGTGCGCAAATATATCCGCGTGCATATGTATGTGTGTGTGCGTAAAGTGTTGTGTTTCGCACGAGCGGAGCGAGAACGTATTAATACGCGCACACGCACACACATGTCACTTTGACAGCGCACGCGCGCAGCGCTTCGTTCGTCGCTGCGACCATAGACGTCAAAAAATACAGAGAGGCGCTGCTTCTGTCGAATCGACTGCGAAACCAAATCGATTGTCGATTGTCGCTTACTTCGGAAGAGAGACTCGCCGGCTGGCCGACAATTATTCATAGGTTATATTGACAAATTCATGCATTATTTGTGTATAAATTGTAATAACATAATAAAAATTCCGAGCAGGAGAAATAAATGTACGTTTCTAGTACATCTCGAAAGTTTTAATTTATATTATTGTTGTACGTATGATTTGTGCTCCTAAATCAAATTGTTTATCATCGTGTGATATAGCGAAAATTGTTACTATGAATGCTTAAATAATATTATTGATTAATTATTTATTTTAGTCTCTTATTAAAGCAAAATAATAACTACATTGAAAAATGTATAATAATATGAATAATAATATTGAAAATTATTTATTTTATTCTCTTATTAAAGCAAAATAATAACTACATGGAGAAATGTATAATAATATGAATAATGATATTGAGAATTATTTATTTTCTTCTCTTATTAAAGCAAAAAATAAATACGTAGAGAGGGGTATAATAATATGAATGTCTACGAGTTGAGATAACAAAATAATTTTCAAACTTTTAAACTAGATATCCAGAGAGAAGCTGAATTAATAGAAATATCAAAATGGACGCAGATTTGTATGATGAATTTGGAAATTATATTGGTCCTGATTTGGCATCGGAGAGCGAGGATGAAAATGAATATGGCAATGTTGGCGATGACACCGAGGACAGAGAGCGATCTGATGAGGAAATGGAGGAAGACAAGGATGAGTCACGAGAACAAGTGGAGCAAGGTTCTTCCATGGCAGTTGTCTTACATGAGGATAAACGATATTATCCAAGTGCATTAGAGGTGTATGGACCTGAGGTAATAAAACTATATTAAGTAACAGTTGAAAGATGTTAAACGTTAGATTGAATTATGTTAAATATTAAATTTGTTCTGACAATTATGTTTTTATATATATATATTCAATTAGAATTTAAATTCCTATGATTTCTTAATCAATAAGCAAATCTATCATTCAACTATATGCGTTTTTATAACTATTTTTTTAGGTAGAAACACTTGTGCAAGAAGAAGATGCTCAACCACTAGATAAACCATTGATAGCACCTACCAGAAAACCAAAGTTTCAAATAAAACAACAACAGCTGCCTGAAACAACATATAGCATTGAATTCTTGGCTGATATAATGGATGCGCCACATTTAATTAGAAATGTAGTTTTGCTAGGACATCTTCATCATGGCAAAACTACCTTAGTTGATTGTTTAGTACAACAAACTCATCCTTACTTACATAGTACTACTGATGAGAAACCATTGAGGTATATATCAAAGTGTATAACAGCTTTTACTTATTAATCCAATCAAATGAAAATAAAAATCTAATTTCTATTACATCATTATATATTATATTATAGGTATACCGATACGTTGTTTACCGAGCAACAGAGAGGCGTTTCTACGAAAGCAACTCCCGTCACTCTCCTGCTACAAGATGTCAAATCCAAATCCTATCTCTTAAACATATTCGATACACCAGGCCACGTGAATTTTTCCGACGAGGCGACAGCCCGCGATTCGTCTGTCAGACGGCGCTATACTGATCGTCGACGCAGCGGAAGGTGTGATGCTAAACACTGAACGTCTACTGAAGCACGCGCTTCAAGAGAAGCTCGCTCTGACCGTCTGCATAAACAAGATAGATCGTTTGGTATTAGAGCTGAAACTACCGCCGTTAGATGCCTACTACAAATTACGTCACATTATCGAGGAGATTAACGGACTGATAGCGTTATACTCCACGGATGTCGAGAATCCTGCTTTTGTTTCGCCCGCCGTTGGAAATGTTTGCTTCGCCAGTTCCGAATACAATGTGTGCTTCACTCTGAAATCATTCGCCGCGCTTTATGCCAGGAACTATCCCGGACTCAACCCCAGTGAATTCGCCAAACGACTCTGGGGCGATATTTATTTTAATCCTAAAACGCGAAAGTTCACCAAGAAACCTCCGCACAACACAGCGCAGCGAAGTTTTATCGAGTTCATCTTGGAGCCTGTGTATAAGATATTCGCGCAAGTCGTCGGCGACGTAGACACGACGTTACCAGATGGTAAATTTCGTCTTTTCTTTATCTCTTTTTGATTCTGACTTGAAATAATTATATATGTTTTATGCATGCAGTTCTGGACGAACTCGGCATACGATTGACATCCGAGGAAATGAAGATGATATACGACCTCTGCTAAGACTCGTCTGTACGCGATTCTTAGGAGATATGTGCGGATTAGTCGACATGTGTGTCACTCACGTACCCAGTCCGCATGCACACGCACCTAATAAAGTGCAGCATGTCTATACTGGTCCGATAGACTCGCCGCTCGCGCAGGATATGGTCAATTGTGATCCGGACGTTAGTATTTTTAATTTGAGTTTCAACTATTGCGATTTAATTACATTTAATATTTTTTAATTAAATTATATTTTAATATCAGATTTTATATTTTCTAGGGAAGATTAATGATTCACAGCACAAAGATGTATCCAACCGAGGATTGCACCCTATTTGTAGTGCTTGGCAGAGTAATGTCCGGCACATTGGAAGCGGGACAACGCGTTCGCGTGTTGGGCGAAGCATATTCGCGTACAGATGAAGAAGATTCACGTGTTCTCACAGTGGGCAGATTATGGATCAGTGAAGCGCGTTACTCGATCGAATTGAGTCGAGTGCCTGCTGGCAATTGGGTCCTCATCGAGGGTATCGATCGACCGATCGTGAAGACCAGCACCATTACGGATCTCAGTAATTCAGAAGACTTGCACATCTTTCGACCGCTCAAATTCAACACGCAGAGCGTCATCAAGATCGCTGTCGAGCCGGTTAATCCATCTGAGTTGCCGAAGATGTTGGACGGTTTGAGAAAGGTAAACAAGAGCTATCCGCTCTTGGGTACGCGCGTCGAAGAAAGCGGCGAGCACGTAGTCCTAGGAACTGGAGAACTCTATCTTGATTGTGCGATGCACGATCTGCGTCGCATGTATTCCGAGATTGACATAAAAGTGGCCGATCCAGTAGTCGCCTTTGCGGAAACTGTAGTGGAGACCAGTTCCCTCAAATGTTTCGCTGAAACGCCGAATAAACGGAATAAACTGACAATGATAGCGGAACCACTGGAGAGAGGTCTTGCCGAGGATATAGAGGCCGAACATGTCCGCATCACTTGGAATAAGTAAGCAATTATACGAAGTTATGCTCGCCATTTTTATATTGTTTGACCTGGGAATTGATGGAAAAAGTGAATTTCTATTTTCCGAAATTTCTTGAATCCATTTTTATTAATGAAAATGTTGAATGTAGTTTTTAAAATTATAAATATGACGAGTTTTTTTTACAAATTTCCAAAAATAATTGAATATTATATATTTTTTCTGAAATTGATATAGATATTTTATTTGAAATTTTTATTTTTTGAAACTATTATTGGGAAGTTATTACAATTGAGTGTTGAAAGTCAAAAAGTTGTTACACAGATATTTATTTGCTGAATATTTTTACAGACTATATATTTATATTATTTTTGCTCTTTAATTTCTAAATATAATATATTGTCAATAACATATACGTACAATATATTGAAAAATTATTATTATTATCGATTTTTAATTGAATTCTAATTTTCTCTTCTAGAAAGCGCTTAGGAGAATTTTTCCAAACGAAATACGATTGGGATTTATTGGCAGCGCGTAGTATATGGGCATTTGGCCCTGATTCTACAGGACCTAACATTCTAGTTGACGATACTCTACCTTCCGAGGTAGATAAAACACTATTGAACAGTGCACGCGATGCTATCATTCAAGGCTTTCAGTGGGGAACTCGTGAGGGACCATTGTGCGAAGAACCGATTCGGAATGTAAAGTTTAAAATCCTTGACGCAGTCATTGCACAGGAGCCACTCCATCGAGGAGGTAATTTAATTAATGTTATATAATATTAATTTATAGTATTAGAATATGTGATATAAAGAATATCAAAGTACACATGTCAAAGTTTTTTAAACCGATAAATTTAAATAATACCCATAAGTCTTTTATGGAACTTGTTTTATGAAAACTTGGAATATATAAAATATCTCGTTTAAACAAGAAGGGTTTATTCGTTATTCACGTAATTCTTAATTTTATCATATATAAAACCTACCAATTATGTATAATAGAAAAAAAAAGTTTAATTCCGTAAAGAAGGGAACAGTAATTTTCATTTATAACATGCAACATTGTGCATTTCGTAATCGTATCTTGATTCCTTGTATCCAGGTGGTCAAATCATTCCTACTGCTCGACGCGTCGCATATTCCGCCTTTCTTATGGCTACGCCTCGTTTGATGGAGCCTTATCTATTCGTCGAGGTGCAAGCACCCGCGGATTGCGTGTCCGCCGTTTACACAGTTCTAGCGAAACGCCGAGGTCACGTTACCCAGGACGCCCCGGTGCCGGGTAGTCCGTTGTACACGATCAAGGCCTTCATCCCAGCTATCGATAGTTTCGGTTTCGAGACAGATTTACGGACGCACACCCAGGGTCAAGCATTTTGCCTGTCCGTTTTCATCATTGGCAAATCGTACCCGGTGATCCTCTGGACAAGAGCATAACTATTAGACCGCTCGAGCCACAGCCGGCTACTCATCTGGCCAGAGAGTTCATGTTGAAGACGCGAAGACGCAAGGGTCTGTCCGAAGATGTATCTATCAACAAGTTCTTCGACGATCCTATGTTGCTCGAGTTGGCCCGGCAGGATGTGCTGTTGAATTATCCCCTCTAATTTAAGAATTATATATATCGTAATACAGTGACGTAATACATTTTTAAGTATTTTCTTACAAAAAGAGAAATACGCGTTCTGCACGATATCTCAAAGCGCGCGTACGTATAATTCTGTAATGCTTCTTTTTCTATCAAGATATTTTTTTCTGACAAAAGATTTCAAAATTTTTCAAACTTTACACATTTTTAGAGTGGAAAATAGTCGCAATTATTTTTAAAGAAAATCTTCTAAACTAGCTCTTACAGCTCTGTTTTAATTGTAATTTAATTACGATTATATTAATTATAATTAAATTATAATAGAATTCACATGTAATCATATAATACTTATTTCATCTATCTTCGTCTACTTTCCATGTAAGAAGTGTATATAAAATGGAAAATAAATTTTTTATATTATACAATATATAGGTCTTAAAATAAGTAAGTTTGGCAATTACGAATAGATACAGTGATCATACATACGCTATTGATACATTTATTTTGTCTCATTCGATTTTATTCTTGCTTCCATATGATTTATATGACATTTTTTCCTGAAAAACAAATCAATCCGCTGTTACATTAATAGAAAATGATTGCATAACCTTCTATTAATGAGAAAATGCTGTAATATTAATAATTCATGTAACAGGCAAAATATTACGTAAAGAAAACAGCAATCAATATAGATTAAGAACAATAATAGTTTGCAATTAGAAAATATTTATTTATAGATTAATACGATTTTTTTCTGAAAAAGTTTTATAATAATATAAATTATTTTAAACTTACAAATAAATACGATTTCCTACATTTCTTAAATTTTAAATTGTGATAAAATATATATCAAATATCATAAAAAAAAACTGTATTTTCTTTATCTTATCTTTAAATTTAATTTAATTTAATTGAGACTAGAAAATATAAAATAAAATAATTTATATTACATATTATTTTTCATACATCAATAACTTACTTAAATTATTACTTTCTTTAGCGAGTACAACATTAATTATTAACGTTATATATAGGATTAGGATGCAAATGCATAATTTTTTAAAATATCGTTTTATATTATAAATGCGTTCGACAATAAGACGTGGCAGAGACGTGTCTATTATAAAAACGGATACCCAGTCCTCATTTAAATTCCGCAATGCCCTTCTATAAACCGGATTTCATAAGTCACAAACAAGGAGTATTCCCCCTTCCCTCTGTATTTCCCCTTTCTTCCACGCTCCCCTATGTTATTCTTTGTGCATCCCTTCTTCCGATTCAACCTATAAACCAGAAGCGACGAGTATCCGTTTGGGATATTCGCCGCCTTCTCGCTCTCCCCTTTCTACAAGTACTTAAATCCGAGATTAATACATTCATTCAAAGCGACCAATTACGTAGCAAGGCCACTCTGTTCATATTCGCTCGAATATGAATCGAGAAGATTCCACACACATTTATAAACGTGCTAAATATAGACTGCGCGTTTCGCTCAATTTAAAGGCGCGCCTAGTTTAGAGAGAGAGAGAGAAAGGTGTAGCTTCAACAAATGATACAGCATTTGGTTTCGATTGTTAAATGTAAAAAAAGTAAAAAAGATTATAAACATATAAGTTGAAGAAGATAAAAAAATTATTATACCCTTTTCGAAATACGCGCCGCTTTTATGGATATATAAAATATATGTATAGTATACGCACATTCTATATTTATTACATATTCTATGGGTTTCGAAAACGGCCGCCATATGCAATACTTGGAAATTATTAATTAATAATTTTGCTTTCGCAAGAGATACGGATTTCGCGTTGGTAGTTCTAGTTTACAAAGGGGAATTGAAGATTTAAGAGAAAAATTACATCGATCCTAAGCTTTAAAAGTTAGGAATTGACCAACTCGCTTAGAACTTCAATATAAGAACTATTAAGATGTGAGACTCATTTAAGGCCAGAAATACATTGCAGGTTAGAACTTTTTGTCATAAAACTTAAATATTACTCTTTGTAGACTATTAAAAAATCGAGACAGCATCGCGAATTGCGCGCTGAAAAACGAAACGATCGACGAAGGAAAAACATGACAAGTGTCAAATCCAGAGTCTACAAACAGGTATGAGATTTTCGTGTATTCGCGACATAAAGAACTTGCTTTCTATTCCTGCACTGTGCACACTTATGTACACACTTATGCAATAAGTTTGTCTCATTCTAATATAGTCTCTCTAAAGTTCACAATGACCCAAGTAGTTATATAAAAAATGAAAATAATTAATAGTAAGAGCTATTATTATAGCTCTTACTATATAAGTGTAATTAAAGAAGTAAAATGATTATTAGTAAGAGCTATAATAATAGCTCTTACTAATAATCATTTTACTTCTTTAATTACACTTTCTTTAATTACACTTATATGTCCTTCTAAAATTGTGTGCGATAATCTATGTGCACTCAGTGCGCACCAGTGCATCCAACCGAATTCTATGGGTTTGTTCTTTATTGCTGCACCGGTGAATTAGTGCAATATAAGTTCAAGTGAGATAAATATCTTTTGTCTCACTCCAACTTACTGCACCAGTGTACACTAGTTCACCAGCGCAGCAATAAAGAACAAACCCTACAACTGACTGCAGGAATAGAAAACGAGCCTAAATAAAGGAGCGACGGCCGTAGAGCGAGACGACGCGTCGCTCGCTTGCGCCGTCATCTGCTCGCGCACGCCAGGGGCGGCGCCGCAGCTGCGCGGCTGCGAGCGGGCGGGTTCGATGGTCGGGGCCCGGCGCCATTTTAGCGCGGCCCACCGAGCGCCGCCGCTCGCTCATAGGTTAGAATCGTGTCCGCCCGGCGGACGCGACGCGCGCGCGCGCGGGAACCAGTTTGCTCGACGGCCGGCGACGCGACGCTCGAGCGAGGCTCTCTATCGCCGCGCCACGGACCCCGATCGATCAGCGCGACCGCTCTCCGTCCTCTTCCCCCTCGTGCTTGCTTTTATACGCACACACAGCCGCGGTCATCCCTCTCGCTTCTCTCGCTTTCACCGGACGACTCCGCTTCTGCAGGCTTTTTACAGCTTTTTGCCGTATATGGGGAGATGTGTTCCGGAATCGTGTGGTAAGACGGAAAGAATTCGAGTGATGGAGAAAGCTCTTTTGTTTCTTTTATTGTGCTCCGCGCTTTCTTTCAGTCTTTTTTCTCTTTTTTTCGATTCAATATTTCTCGAAAAGAAATTTTGTCTTGTGACAGTTATATTTCATATATAAGAAAGCAGATTGATAACTGAGATATATTACATGTTTTATTGAGACACGAGTAAAAATTATCATATGACTTTAATAAGGTTATAACGTATACGTATGTTCTAAAAATGGACGCTTCTCATTTTATTTTCATGTATCTTCGGAATTCGGTATTGAGTGTTTTCTATTTATATACGAGTACGTAAATATATGTATACGATTATTTTCATTTTTTGTTAAATATACATATGTCATTAGCGATTTACGTAAAGCTATAATATACAAAGGAATAACAGAGGTTAATTGATCATAACTACGATCGATTCGTTTATCATTTAACAATCGGTTTCTCTCTCTCTCTCTCTCTCTCTTTCATATTTGCAAATGACTGTAAAATACAATTGATTATTCCGTTATCTTCTATTATATCTCGTTCTCAAATCATTTTACGGTGCAACTAAAAGACAAAAGTAACAAATAAACAATACTAAATTATTTCAAGTTATTCACTATACTCGAATTATCGATATTTTACAATTTAAGATGTGCTTATTAAGAATGTAATTTTTTTCGAGATAGCTCAGAAAACGAGAGAAATAGAGAAATTAAATAGAATTATTATATACTTTATTTGCTTCTTTGATGGAAGCTATAAAATATACCACGATGCATCGAAACGTATAACAAGTAAATATATTTTTACGTATTGACCGACTCTATTTTTTAATCGATATACTATTTCTTCAAATATCAGCAATTTTACAAAGACACTTTGTCATTTTTCGAACAAATTTGCAACTGACACGTACCTATAGTAAAAATCTATTCTCGGTTGAAAATTGAAACTCGATCGTTTGGAGCAGTTTGATATTCGTTTGCCGACACTATTCATCCGCGAGAATTTCATTTAGTCATCCGATATTTCATCAACTATGATACTATATTCTCTGTTCGACATTTTCCCGTTTGTTAAATTTTAATTAAATCGACAAATCTACAGTTGTGAAACGCGATCTCTAATATAGTAAATAAAATGTAATATGATCAGATAAATAAAGAGTTACAAAAGCGTGAATTGAAGTGGGAGAAGAGATATATACTAAAAGTTCTAGATTAGATTAGATAGAATATCGAAAAGAGATGAGAGAATTTATTTGTTGAAATGATAATGATGAAATAAATCTCGAACGGAGTTTGTCGAAGGGAGAAAAGTATAAACATATGATCCTATATTATATTTACAAAGTCAACTGAAAAAAGTGTAAAAATATATCGCCGACACGACGCATGCATATATACATATATATATATATATATATATATATATATATATATATATATATCGTTACATACGTAACAAGTGTTCTGACAGAGCTGTCGAGTAAATAACTAGCTATGGGCATCCGTCCTACATTTGTTTGCATGCGACGCGACCGAGTTTCTATTAATTATTACACCGATGCACGTTACTTTGCAATTGACCGTTCTGCATAGGTCATTGCAACCTATATATCATACGATGTAAGAATGTTTTTCGTTATAGAATTTTGCAACACGACGCACTTTACTTTCAAGGTAAATTATACATTAAGCTATACAATCTATATGTCATTCCTATATGTCATTCAATGTTCGCACTTTATTGAAACCAACTATATAATAATATTTAAAATGATTCAATCATCACTGCGGATATGTCATTTTTCTTATTTTAAAATGCCCAGAAGATTAATCAAATATTTTCATATTTATTGCAAGCATATATGTATAATACTTGAAAAAATAACAAATCGTATATATCTATATATGAATCATATTTTATGCCAATTAATAATATTATAGAATAATTTTATCAATATTGTTAAAATTGAGAATCAAGAAATTGGGTCAATATATTTTGACAATCAAATCTTATAAGAGTTCTCTAATATATATTATAATCAGTTAACTATTTATGAAATATTATTGGTATAATGCAATTATCGCGCGTATATTACATTCGTTTTTATCAATATTCTTCGAAGCACATAATGAGAGAATATACATGAAATTTTGAACAAGACACTTTATACACATCAAATTATTTTTATAGTCTCTTTCGCGCGACGCGGCACTCATTAGCGCCATTAACAATAAATATTAAAAAACTTATTTTCGATCGTCGTTCAGTGAATTAACGCGTTAAAAATTGATCAATCTTTGAATTAGCACTTAACAAGAATTTAGAAAAAATAAATTAATTTCATCATTCTCGTCTTTGCTGATTATGTAAAAGAGTTTGTATAAAAAATTATAAAATTTGTACAACGCAAAACTCGCTTTTATCCGATCAGAGAAGCATTCATAAATGTTAAAAGTTATATCTATTATGCTAAATTATAGATTTATTACGTTTAATTTATTTAATCTTTCCTCGAGGGTGCTTATATATATCAACTGTTCATTAATTTAGAGATAAATATTCGCGTACACAAATAAAGAGGAAAATAAATTTATATAAATAGTAAAATATGGAGATTTGTAGGAATATGTGCATATGTAAAAGATGAAGAGCTTTGCGATATATTATGTATGCAGAAATATTACATCGTCATTCTATATCTATTTTGAGGCAAAATCGGGAAACCAAAAATATATCCTTTATGTGACTAATCTTGTTTTCACTGTACAAAGCGTTCAAGGTTTCTTTCCATAATCATTTTGTCGTTAAATATCATAAGAATACTTATATATTCTCATCATTTATAGCTTTTATATTCGTATATCGGATTTATATAGCTTTCACATAGGTATACAATGATTTCTTTAGAATCAAATTATTGTAAATCGGAGCGCAAAAACAAAAACACTCTCTTTTTATATTTTATATAAAATATCTGTATTTATAAATTCAGAAATATTCTTAATCACGATCTGTCAACATCGTTAATGACTCGTGATCGCAAAGAGAAGAAGTCATCGATTCCAAGGAATTACAGGAGCTCATGAGTCGAGGCTGGCTGAAGCGCGGAGAGAGTCGCATTTCCCAAGATCGATCGATCGATCGATATCGATCGACAAGACGCGGAAAGCATAACACGCGATCGTGCAGAACCTATATGCGCATAGACGAAGGATAGAAGAAAGAGAGGAAGAGACGGACGACGCCGGAATACCACGGTCTTATATATACAGGTCAGGACACTCTACATCGACTTCAAACGTAACAAAATGTAACTAATATGGCTGCCAACTCGGGCCGATTTATTCACTGTGCGCCAGCGCAGAATTTTTTTATTTCGACAGTTTTGTGTTAGATTTGGTACACGATTGAAAAAATGTGAAAAATAAACACAAAAATAAAAGAACCGTCGCAATAAATATTAAATGTTAAGTATAGTTCGTATCGAATGATTCAAAAATAGTGAACTATATATTATAATAAATCTATTATTATACAAACAGGTTTGAGATTGGTTTGACATTTTGTATATGCACTTGATTTGAATGAGTGTCCGACCTGCATAAAAACCCGTGCGGCGAAGACGCACGAATGGGCGAGCGAGAATAAGAAGAGCGACGCTATATAGAGAGTCATCGAAAGGAAATTTTCGAGCGCTCGCACGAGCGACGCCCGTCGACGCTCGGCGTCGCTCGTGCGATTCCGCCGCAACGAGGCGGGGTTTAGGCGGGGTCGATACGCGGCGCCTTCTCTTTTCGTATACACTACAGTATCGCCGTTCGCTTAACGTGCATGGATATATCGGAAGCCTCGCGAGAGAGACTATCTGACCCGCCGCGCGATTATCGCTTTCTCTCATTCTCTATCCATCCTTCTTTCTCCCGCGAGAGAACGTACTCTCGCGTTGCTTAACATTACTCGCAGCGAGTCGCTCGGAGACCAGCAACGCTACAGTCAGCGTTACATCGTGGCGAGGGTGGGAAACTCGAGAGAGGAAACGCGGAGAGCGCGCGCGCGCCCTTCGACTCCGACTACGCCGGTCGATCGACTGGTGGGTGACTGACTGCCGGAGGACGAGGACAGCGGAGACTACTCCGGAAGGAAGGAAGAAACGTGGAGGCTCTGGCGTGGTCGCGATGGTGATCGGGGAAGACGCGTGAGAGACGCCCGGTGACAGTTGACAGGATGACCACGATTCCGCAACCTCCTGCTCCACCTCCTCCGCCTCCTTCGACGACGACGACGACGACGACGACGACGTCGTCGTCAGCCACCACGGGGACGTCTACGTGATGCAACGTGGCCTTTGCCGCGCGTTCGTCCAGCTGTCATCCGGTCCTGCGGTAGACTCGAAGACGACGACGACGACGTTCCGCTCGAGGAAGCAGAAGAAGGAGCGACGATTATTATTACGCGCGACGAGAAGCAGCGCTATCGGACGCCTCGGGGCCAGGGCGCCGTTGCACACCGACCGACGGCGGAGCGGCGTTGCCGTCTCCTCTCCGCGGCCGCCACCGCCGCCGCCGCCTCCGCCACTTCCACCACCGCCGCCGCCGCCGCCGCCGCTGCCATCGTCGTCGCGCCGTCGTTGCCACGTCCGCCGCTACGTTCCGCTGTCGGGAACGACGACGACCAGCTCCGAGGACACGTTGGTAAGCTTATATACTTGCGCGCAGCTTTTTTTCTCTCTTTTCTGTAGAATAATCCGTATGTGACATATATGTATGTAATGTGAATTATATCATCGAATTCGATGTAATGTAACTGTATGACGCGCAGTGCAGCTCTGTATACTCGGGAAGTAAAGCGCCGCTTTCGTGGGAGAGGGGGACCATGGCAGTCCGTATGCTTGAATAGAAGGCATGGTCTCTCCCACCTGAGGGCACGCTCGCGACCTCGGATGTTACTTTGGGATCTTGACGGAGTGATAAGGCACCTTTAGGAATGCGTGCGCGACTGTCGCGATCGAATTTTTTTTTTTTCTTTTTTTTTTTTTTTTTTTTTTTTATCGCGAGTGACATTTTTACCTGCCTATCGTATTACAATGATATGACGCAAGCATGAGTGATATGGAAATAGAAAAGAATGATGGTAGGTTGTTTTTATTTGTTTCTGAACGATGGAAATATGTTTTAATTAAAGTGCAATTGCTGCACTGCCGTGTCGCGATTTAAATAAAGCATTTTTATTCCGCGAATGCAGACGAACATACGCGCGAAAAAATTGTCTTTTTTAATTTATTCTGAAAATTCTATGGTAATCGTGGAAGAATTTTATGAAAAATTGAAAAAATATTAATGTCTATACTGCAATAAAATATAAATTATGTTTGATTAATTTTATTAAGATATATAGCAAAATTTTACTAATTTTTAGACATATTAAAAACTTATAATTCTTTAAGAATTTTGAATAGAATAGATGCCAAAAAGAATAATGAATAAAACATTTTGTGTAAATTTTGCAATGCAACGTAATATTTTCAATCTGACTTAATCACTCATATTTTAATACATGCAGCATGGTAATTTTTAACTTATTACCAAACATGATATGTAGCGGATTTTGCGGAAAAATATGACGAAAAATTCCCTCCGTGTATAAATAAAAATTTATTACAGACAGAAATAGTTATTTAATATCAGAGATATATTTGTCGAGTTTTGTTTTACTCAATATTCACCTGTTAACTTGACACTATATTTTGAATTTTATTTTTCTCGAACAGTTCATCAAAGATCAAAGTGTCACGTGTTTAGTGTTGTTCTTTGCGCGCGCGCTTTCTTGTTTTATATACATATATATATTTGTCTGTATAAAAATATATTATACTAATCGCTCAAATAAATATGTTGCAATGGTCGGAAAATTAAAAACGTTAGTTTTTACGAAGCATATTGAATTCTTTTATATTTTTATTTTATTGCATATTTTTATTCAATAACTACATCTATTAAATGTTATACATTATTTATTAAGTATTTTTCTTTTAATCTTTGTAGTATATCTCACAAAATTTATTTGATCAAAAAATTCATTTATTTGACGTATAATGTAGAAAACTTAATTTGCATTTCCTCTCTTTTGACGTAATCGAATATAATTACAGAAATGTCAAATATTTATGATGGACATGTATATGAAATATGTATAATTTATGTGCTATTTTTTCCTTATTATGCAATTTCTATTTTCTTTCCTTTAATTATTACGACACATATTTTTACACATTTTTTACTTATCGATTTTTACGACACGTTTCTTCAAAATGTTTTGACATCTATGATCCTCTCGAGAACTGTATATTCTGAAAACGTTCATTCGCATAAATTTTATATGCAGTCAGATTCGCGACTCTGTCATAACAAATAACGCTTTCAGACAAATTCGAAATACCGTTCATTTATAACTATGATAACGTTAAAGGCGGTCAAATATAAATGATAGATAATTGCTAAAAGTTGCATCACACATGTTTATAAAATATTTTGCGTTTAAGAAACATTTTATAAAGTGACAAAAATATCTGAAAATTAACCTATATTTATTTAACTATTTTTTGCATAGTTTTTATATAACTGCAATGTTATGTAACTATACCATTATATTAAAAATTGCAATGTTTATATATTATGCAGAGTGTTTCTAAACTATGTCAGAGATTTAAAAAGCCTTTGATGAGCTGTTTGAGAGAACAAATCAAAATATAGTGTCAAGTTGACAGGTGGTAAAACAGGTGGTTGACAGGAGTATTAATATTATTCTACGGATAAAAATGAGAAAAAAGTTCCTATATGGATCCAAAAATGCTTTCCCTCCGAATTATAGTCCCCCAAAGTTGGGAGAAAAAAATTGAAAAATGTACTTTTTCACAGATTGTAATTTTGCACAGCGTAATAATTAGTAGTGAATACTTGCATTTTTATGTGGTTTTGACAATTAATCTGTTTGTAGCATGTTTATAGCAGCTTTTTCTTATTTTAACCCCTACACTGAAAAAATGTAGAGTTGACGTAACTCTAATTAACATAAAAATATAAATTAATATAATATAATAAAAATAATAATAATAATTATATCTAAATATAATTACAAATCGAGTCGAAATTCGCTAAAAACCGAGAAAACTTGCGTTTTTCGACCATTAATCTGGAAAATAGAGAAAGAGAGAGAGAGAAGAATGCACGATTCGACTCCGTTCCTTTCGTGATAGACAAACAGGCAGAAGTCTCGGAATCGATCCGAATTCGTCTGACCTCGCGAGTTTGTTTATCCGACGCGAGCGATGACACGTGACTCGATTTCCGACGAGTCACGGCATGCGAAGGAACGTTTTCTGGACTTGGCGCCCGCGTATCCTCCTCTCTCACTCTCTCGCGGGAAAGAGTGGGAACGAGGAGGACGAAGGGAACGTTCGGCCTTGACGGATCATTCACAGGCCAGAATCGCTTTCGCACGGATTCGTACGTCCGTGCAACACCATACCATGGACGCACAGGTGGTGGTCGACTTTCCTTTTCGCAAGTTCATTAACCTCCTCTCCTCGTCCATTATGCCACCGCGGTGGATTCGGCACGACGTTTCGTTATATTCCCCGTCGAAACGAGTTCAAAAGGTTCGACACACTTGCGAACAATAGCTTCCGAACCGTATTTTTCCGGACCTCCGTAAAAGGTGACGGAGAAAACACACAGAAGTTAATCGTTTAACGGCGTCTAATTAGTAGAAGGGAAGAAAATACAAAACTTATTTTTTTTTTTTTTTTAATAAGCGCCAAAGAAAATCAATATATACAATTTAAAGTTGAATATTTGAATAATTTCATCGATAATTATTTATAGCTGTATAATTTTTTTCCTTCATTTAAATAATTGTAAAATTATTACAATTATATATGTTCGCGTTTATATACGTATTACTTGATTACCGACAATACAATTATTTAATAATGATATGCAAATGACTATTTAATAATGATATACAATACAAATATGATTCTTACATTATATATAATACAATTTTATATTCTTTATTAAGAACGCGATTATATGCCGGTAATATTTTTAATACGTTTGTTTGTTATAAAAAACTGAAAAAATACTAAAAACGTCTATTAATCATTATCTTACTAATTATTCTATTAATTGATAAAAAATAGTTTTTAATATTTTTTTCACTGTTCTTTCTTTCCTTCAAGCGCGACAAATTTATATAAACACATTCGTGCATCCGTAGCATTCGCATCTAGATAAAATAAAACAAAATTAAACAGAGCAATAAGCGAGTCAGGCTTGTGACAGCCGAGAAAAAAAATACCGATTGTGTGATTGTTACTGCTCCTCGGTTTTACGCTTTCCTTTGTACGTTACGGCCTTTAGCTATTCTTGTCGCCGAGTAGGCGCACAAAAGAAAGAGAGAGAAAGAAAAAGAGAGACAGATCGCACGAACGAAACTCTTACACTCGTACCTGTATGTACACGAGTATGTAAGAATCAGCAAATAGTTAAGCATTTACTCTCCTTGTGAATAAACACTGGAATTGATCTGCAATTTTATTTAATATCCTTAATAGCACAGCACAACATATCCGAAAGATATTCTAGAGGACATTCGAACATCTTCAGGATGTTCTGTGAACGTCTTCGGGATACGTGTGCTGTTAAAAATATTAAAATAAAAAAATAATTAAAACATTGAATTTAAAAAATTCAGGAAGAATAATATAACATGAAACAAAAAAAATCATGCCCCTCCTTGGAAAAATTCCTGCGGACGTCTATGTGTATATATGTAATACGTCAGCAGAGTCGTCCGGCGCGTGTTTACCGGCTCGAAAGTATCGCGCGCCGGGTCTCTGCGACAGACGAAGAGTGAGAAAGAGAAAGAGATACGAGAGCGGAGAAAGCATCCCCTTTAAGAGATAGACCTTAAAGTCTACCGGCCACGCCGGCACGAATTTCCCCCGGGATCCCCCGCGGGAGAGACAGACACTCGTCCGCACGTGTGTACGTATGTATGTATGTATGTATGCGCGACATATCGCGCATGGAAATCGCACGCTGCCGTTGCATCGGTCTCTCGCTCTCGGAGAGAGCGTCGCGCCGGCGCGGCGTTGCGAGGGATTATCGCGTACCGCGATCGCGCGTGCACGCGTTCCCGCGCGGACAGATACGCGCGAGCAGCAGCGGCGGAGCTGCTACTGATTAAGCGTCTTCGCGGTGTGGCGAAAATGCGAGTTTTCTTTGTGCCACCATAAAGTGTGAAAAAAAGTTTCTTAGATTTCCGGATTTATTTACATTTATTCCATTAAATAAAATACATACAATAATATATAATAATATTATATTCCATTAAATTTATTTATTAATTTGAAATTTCGAAATTCAAAATGGCGGACTTAAAAATATTGATACGCTTTTGATAAGTTGCAATACATTATTTTTTATATAAGTGATTCTTTTCGGTAAAATTTGATATGCCATTTAGAATAAGAAAATTCAGTGTATGTTTTGATTAAGCGACTTCAATATTGAAACCGCCATTTTGAAATTCTGGTATATTTGGATTCAGCGACCTCAAAAACCTTAGCATATCAAGTTTAATATAAATCGCAAAAGGATTAACCGATATTTTTTAGATGTGCATATACGCACATTACACACTGGTGGCACGTCTTTTTTCTGTACATATGTATATGTTACATATACTATGAAAGGATTAAGAGTCTTCGTATCGTCCGTCGACAGAGAGAGATGAGAAAATCGCACGTTGTGTCGCGTCAACTGAATTAGAGTATCTCACGATTGTGACGTTGTTATCCGCTCTTAAAGTCTCCGTCTTCACATTTCCGGTCTTCAAATTTCGTGAGTTATTTTTAATTGTTAATTTCTTATTCTCATATAAATTATAATATATACAGGGTGTATCTAAATAAGTGCGACAAATTTTAGGAGATGATTCTTGGAAGAAAATTATAAGGGGGGTTTCTTATATAAATGCGCACGTACTCTTATATCCCTCCCCGAGTTTTCATTTTTTTTTCTCAAATTTCAGACAAATTAAAAAAATAAAACTTGGTGGATATTTACCACTAACAAAAGGATATTTATTAATATTTTTTGGATTTTCCTGTATCATTATGAAGGAATAAAACTAACAACCCCTATTTAATTTTTTATCAGAACTTAACATTTATATAAAAAAAACCCCTTAATTTTTGACAAAAAATCATCTAAAAGTTTTCGCACTTATTTAGATGTGTGCGTCCTGCATTCACATATATACATATACATATTTTATTTATTATTGGATTGTTTGAAGAAAACGAGTTAATTTTTATTTATTTTATTATTTCTTAAATGTTAATTATATTTAATATTAATTTCTGTTATTCGTCGGAAGTAGAACAATTGATTTATACGTAAAAAATTGATAGGAGAATAATATTCGCGCATTATTATTGCAATATATCACATAAACTGCGAAGGCACTATAATCTTATAAATTGAAATAGAATGGAAGGTTAAAGAGTAATTAACGAGCACGTGTTAATATTCCGTGTATGACAGCTGCATCGTTTGCGATAGATGATTAACAATCAATTGGCACATCTGTTTTCAGCACCAACTATCAATATGGAGGCAAAGGAAAGGGAGAAGCCGCTAGTCAAAGACTTGAATGAACATATCGTGTGTCCCCTGTGCAGAGGATATCTCATAGATGCTACAACTCTCGTGGAATGTCTGCACTCCTGTTCGTATTTCTGAGCATATTAGCTGTTATATCTTATCATTAATTTTCACATTTTGACAAAATTCGAAGACAATTTTGGCAAACTTTTAAAATATTTCCATATCTTAATACGACCTAAAGCATTTTTTACCTACTTTTTATCTACTTTTCCTTTATCTTGGGAATCCTTATAAATGTAAAAAGCATGTTTTCTTGAAAAAGTGTAACCCTATTTTGGAGATAATTTTTTTAAATAAAATGTTACACTTTTTCAAGAAAACATGCTTTTTACATTTATAAGGATTCCCATTTTATTATGGGTCTTATCATATCATTAGGAAGACCTTACCCTATTTTGAAGATAATTTTTCTTAAATAAAATGTTACACTTTTTCAAGAAAACATGCTTTTTACATTTATAAGGATCCTCATTGCAATTATGTTACATTGTGACACGTCAAAGGCGAGAAAAAACACATCGAAACTTTTGCGTATCTTTTTTAGATAAAAAGATATTTTGATAAAAGAACACTATAAAGCTCTTTGATACACTTTTAAAATAGTTCGAAAACTATTTTTTTCCCTTTGACAGTCAATCAACAGCGATAAAATGGGTCGTACTATCAAACTTTGTCGTACAGAATGACTGCGCATGTGTAAAGAGCAGATAGACTCAGCCTTGTATTAGTTATTTTACAGCTGTTGATTGCAAAGGGAAAAAGATAATTTTCTATATATATATGTGTATATATATATATATATATATATATATATATATATTGTTTAATATTGTTGTTAAATATTGTTTAATAAAATTATATAAATTATATAATACACATTATATAAAAAATTCCTAATTTATTGTGGTATATAAATTATATAATACACATTATATAATAAATTCCTAACTTAATCGATAATGAATATTATTCAAAAAAATCGTGACGTCACTCGAATCGATCGTACCTATTTCGGAGCGCGATTTCGAGGGTCTTCGCTCTCGCCTCACGTCGCGGACACCATCAGTTTGCAGAGGCTGCATCGTCCGGCGTCTGAGCAGCGGTGCCCGCGCGTGTCCCGTGTGTAACGTCGCGGCCTCGCCGCCACTTCTGCCGGACACCCGGCTCCAACGGCTGGTGTACCTCGCGGTGCCCGGTCTCTTCCGGTCGGAGCTCGAGCGCAGACGTCACTTTCGTCTGGTGAACCCGCAATGTCCGCCGTTGGCGTCGCCAGTGGGCGGCCTCGACCTCACTCTGGAGGACCTGGTCAGTCTGAGCCTGAAGGAGTTGCCGAAAGAGAGACGAAAGTGGAGGAGGACGCTGTCGCGCCTTGCGACTCCTCGAGGAACGACGAAGTGTTCTCGGGTAGCACGCGATATCTCAAGTGTCCGGCCGCCGTGACGGTGCGTCATCTGGTGAGGCTGCTGATGCTGAAGAGAGGATGGGAGGAAGCTAACGCGACTGTCAACAACAAGATTGAGATTTTATACCAGCATTCCGACAACGAGAATATGCGCCCGCTCGATCCGTCCTGGACGCTCCTGGATCTCGCTTGCATCTTTCGATGGGAGAGGGTGAGTTTGATGATTCAGTTTTATGTGCGACGTATGATCGATCCGCTTTACCGATTGTAACAGACCAAAACTTATACTCTCAAATAATCACGTCCAGTTGATTTTACTCAAATTTGCTCGAATTAATGTTTCGCGCCTTATTTTAAAGGAATATAATTTTATTTGTTTATTGAGCCTTTTAATTAGTACATTAGTTCCTTCAAAATATAGGCATTTCTATGCGGTTTCTATTATACATTCTATTTTGATCTATTTTGACATTCCATTCTTATCTTAAGTCCCATTTTTATCTTACGTATATCCGAAGATATATTACGAGATAGACTCCAGCAAGGCTGCGGAAAATTCATGGAATGCGGATTATTTTTATCTACTATACGTTTGCGCATATATATGGTTCATTTCAACAAAGAAACAGTCCTTGTATTTGGTACTTACGTGCTATAATATTTGACAAAAAAAAATAAAAAAAATGATCCGCGAAAAGTATAATGGTTAGATATTTTTAATTACTTTCGATGCTACATATTTTATCAGTAACTTATGAAAAATGATCAAAGTATTATAAAAAAATGATTACTTTACTTTAATTCTGTATTTATTCAAGATTTAATTTATATCTTTCTATTCTTTCTCTATTCACATGTAATATAGTTTCAATATTGATTATATTTTTGGCTGAGAAAATCTTTCGTGGAGACAAAAATACAGAAAAAAATATAAATCCGACAAATATAAAAAATAATACTCGAATAATAAAATGTGAAGAATGAAACTCGCAACTGTAATATTGATTTTGTTTTTTTCTTCACAAATATACATAATGATTCACTTGCCCTAAAGAATTCGTCTTTAGACAGGTGAAGACCTGTCACTCCACACAATTATCTCGAGTTTACTCCCATATAAAAAGGATCGTAGCCTCTTGTTTGCTAAGGGCCGAGCCTGTTTGAAAGACCAGGTAGGAAGGCTTTCACGAATGGCGGCGCGATGGCTCGCGTCTGTTGCAGGAGGCGCCGATGCGGCTGTTCTACCGGGTGTCGCGAAAGGAGGAGGCGGTCTCGGCGTCGAAGGGTCCCTCGTCGTGCAAGGACGACGCGACGAAGGACGAAGGCTCGGCGGCGATGGAGAACATGCAGCGCCCTCCGACGCCGCCGCCGAGTCCTAAACCCAGCCGCGAACCGGAAGCGGAGGCCTCTCCTCGCGTCCTCGAGAAAGAGACGAAAACGAAGAAGCCGCGCTGCGAGGTGACCCCCGTGATGCGCGCCCCGGATCCTCCGATCCCCGGAGGACTCGCCGCCGGGCAGCATCATCATCATCCGGAAGCCGCGAAGAGCAAGGACCTGACGAGGCTGGAGCACCGGAAGCGCCGCAAACGACGGAACAAGCGGGTGATCGCGGAGATCACCACGACTCCGCGCGAGGATCTGCTGAAGCTCAAGGTCCGCCTGACCCCGTGTCCTCCCAGGATCACCTCGGGCGCGGCGACGGGCGTCGGCTCGGGTAGCCAGAAGGAGAAGCTGCTGCAGATGCGAGCGGTCAGACGCGAGAAGATCAAGGCGATCGGTCAGCAGCGATCGGCGACCTCGGTGCGAGAGGAGGTCCAAGGATCCAAGGAGTGCGCCGCTATGGAGACGGAGGAGACGATCGAGGACATCATCGACGGGATTCCCGACGAAGTCGTTCATATCGCGCAGAACATCGGTAATCAGAACGAGGACGTCGCGGCGGAAAGAAAGAAGGACGAACCGAGCAACGACAGAGAGCTGGAGAACAACGCCGAGCCGGAGAAGCCGAAGAAGGACGAGGAGATCCTTCGGCGACTGGGTTTGGTAGCCATCAACGAGGCTCCCGGAGGGAACAAGACGGCGAAGCAGCGGACGCAGAGCGGCCCCGACAAGACCGACAACCTGGACCGCGAGAAGCTGGAGAAGCAGTTGCGCGAAAGCAAGGCGAATCGCGTGCGGAGTCTGCTGGCGGAGAAGCAGATGCGCGACGCCCTCAAGAGTATCATGTCCAAGACGAAGGAGGAACGAACGTCGTCCGTCAACGCGACCCCGTCCGGCTCGAAGAAGAAGGAGCCGCCGCCGTTGGCGCCTCTGCGCGTCGCCAAACCGTCCGGCTTCGCCGCGTCCTCCAAGTACGAGACGCCGTTGGATCTCAGCAGCGGCGGACCCGCGGTCAACGACAACGTGCTGGACCTGTCGGCCACGTTGCCGGGGAACGGCCAGCCGACCACCTTCTCATCTCCATCCTCCTCGTCGCCATCTTCCTCCTCGTCCTCGTCCTGCTCGATGCCATCGTTGTCGTCGTCCAGGCCACCTGGACGACCCGCCATCGGCGGCGCCGGCTTCCTCCGCAAATCCGTCAAGGAGCCGCATCAGCGGGGCCAGCAGGAGTCGAATCTGAGGACCCTCTCGGACGTCGCGGTTTCCCGTTTAAGCAGCTGCCTGACTCCAGAGAAGACTCCGGAGCCTCTCTCTCTCGCTTCCGCGAATCTTCACAAGGTCGCCGCCCCCAGCAAAGTCGCCCTGCGCATCCCACAGCTGCATCAACGTATCCCCGGGTTCAACATGAAGATCAAGCCGAATCTCGGGGTACGGCATATCCCGAATCCCCAGGCGGTCGTGGCTTCTCAGTATCGTAATCAGAGGGCCGGTTACTTCAACGCCGTCTCCCAGCAACCGCCCTTGTAAATCTGTGTCTCTTCTATAATCGTATAATCCATTCTTTCTCTCTCTTCCGCCTCCATTTTTCCTCTCTATCTTCGACGTCGGAAGACGAGGACGAAAGTTCCATTAGAGACCAAGATCCAAAGGCTTTTATACAGGGTGTATCTAAATAAATATATATAGGTGGGAACAATTTTAGATCCTTTGTTTTGGAGAAACTTGATGGATGTTTTCCACTAACAAAAAGGATATTCAGTAATATTTTTTTCGGAGTCGTTAAAAGAGGATGAAACTGGCAACCCCTATTTAATTTTTTATCAGAACTTTTATATTTATAGAAACTTCCCTTAATCCTCGACAAATATCACCTCCTAAAATTTTCGCACTTAGATACACCCTGTATATTACAAGTGTGTTTTATCCTTTTTTCCCCCGACGACTCGCTCGTGACGCGTAATCAGATTGATTCGGAAAGACGATTTTATTACAGTGGCACGACTTCGTGATGATTTCCCATTCGTGAAAACAAATTGCTAGTTCGAATGAAAGATATTGTGAGTATCTGATACACTGTAAGAAAAATTACACGATAGTCGGGATATTGATGTAAGTATTATCTGTATTGGGACAAAGTGCCCTTTTAATATTCCTAATACTATGTCTACCAAACTATCTAATCTCGCTATCTAATGCTGCATTCAGCTTGAATAGAAGTGTTAGCAGATACAAGGTATTTCCCGAGAAACTTTATACTTACTACAAATTCTTTATGAAATTTAAAGCCAAGTTTCTTCGATAAAAGCACACATTTTGTCTCTAAAGCTCAAGTATAAATATAGTTTTTAAATTATAAGTGATCAAAAACGGACCAACTTTTTGCGAACTATAAGCTTCGCGGACGCGAATAGAATAATATAAAAGCTTATTCTTTGATTAATTGATATATATGTAAGTGAATTTTTTACTTTAATAAAATTTTAATCCGAAGTTTCGAATCTCGAGCGATCTTTCGGTCGTTAAAAATTATCCAATAGTGAGAAGAGATGACATTCAATCAACTTTTTATCAATCGAAAACTCTAATTCTCTTGAAATTTAACAAAAATCGTATAGATTGCGACACAATTTTCGCTCTCGCTGATTAAATCGTGTGTTCCTAAAATATATGAATATCGAAACTTGGAAGATGCAAAATTATCACGCGATATTCCTATAGGAAGTATTTTAGCTCTGTATCGCGAACATGTCAATATTCGATATTCTAGTTGAAATGTTTCTCATGCTGATATCCTATTAGTATATCGACGAGAGAATCAAAGAGATGAAGAATATGATAGTTATATTTCTCGAAACACTTGTCTTATTCTCGTATCCGCATATTACAGGTGAGTATAAAATGACCTTTGTTCGTAAGTATATTATACAAATACAGGGTGTTTCTAAAACTGTCAGAGATTTGAAGGTCCTATTCTAGGGGTGAAAATAAGAAAAAAGTTCTTACAAACATGGGTCCAAAAATGGAAATTAGCACCCTCCACATCTTCCTCTCAAAATCGGATCAAATTGTCAAAATCACAAAAATAAAAATACAATTTTGTAATTTTTTCTCTCAACTTTAAAGGGCTATAACTCGAAGGAAAAATGTTTATAGGAACCTTTTTTTCTTATTTCGACCCCCAGAATACGGCCTACGAAAATGTCGAATATTATAATTTTAGAAACACCCTGTATAGAAGCGCACAATCGTCCGTACTCTCGATCTGATTACGCCGTTCTTTGGGGGAAGGGAACCACACCGATCACTTGTCGGATTATTGTTACCTAGATATATCAAAACTGTGTGTACTACGACTGTAATAATGTATGCCTGACCTGCGTCGCGGTCTATACTCTTACTATGGTTACCAAACGGATCGATCTGACAAATGAAAACTCGCGAGGAAAATCCGTAACGTCGCCGTATCCGACATATTCCGACCGGGAACGAATTTAGTCAGCATATATATATATATAATATAACGAATAATTTTATATGTATACATCAAATTATCCATTGTTTCAGCGAGGTAGAACGGTGCGAAGTACTTCGGGTTTGCGAGAGAGCGAAAATCTGATTCGCGCGAGTAATCAAAGATTTTTGTATATAGCAAGCACGATGAAATATTTATTTTGTCGAATCTTTCGTTATACATATTTTTAATTAGTACATCTTACTTATTTTATACATTTTGCGTTCAAATATCTTAGCCGTAGAAGAGGATATATACGTTTTAGTTGATCGAAAAAGTTCCTTGCGCTTTTACGTATTATTCTATTTACAATTGTTGAATTATTTTAGTCGCTTGTTTGTTGATTTAATTGCGTGCGTGTAGAATGTTTTTGTTTTCGTTGGAAACATTCGAGGAATATAAATTAGGAGTAGCTACGTGATGCAAAAACGCATCGTGCAATCGAGTAATCTCGATTAATCTTGGATTTGTGTACGAAGTTTTTCCAAAGATGTGTAAGTTAATAACGTAAACGGAAATCCGATCGTGTTACACGAGAGGATGATTTTATCTCGTTCCACATATATGTTTTACGTCGATATTTTATTATCCTCGGGAGATTTATCCGAGAAGCGAGACTCGTTTTTTTTCTCGAGTGGGCCTATTATACAGTCGGGCGATATTTCTCCTTCTCTCTCAGAACCTACAATTAGCAAAATATACCTACCTACGTGTAATAATTTGTAGAGATGCCAAAGAGAACGTCAGAGAACGTGTGCAATGTATTAGTGCAATTTAATTATCGTGTAAACGTATAACGTAACCGTATAATCGATCTATCGTTCGGCGATTCTTAACTCGTCGCCGAGTTAAATAAAAGGTAGGTAGATAGGTAGATAATCGTACAGTGAAAAAGAATTTGTGTTAACTTGATTAAACCTTTCAGCTAAATATTATTTTGTCGATTGAAACATATAAAAACAAATTTAAATTAAATATAATGTATTGAACAACTAACAAATCGTATATTTGACTTGAATATTAATATACGTTCAATTAACCAAATAGTCATTTAGTTGAAAGATTCAGTCAAGCTGACTCGTTTTTTTTCGGTGTACATATACGGACACACACATATGCGAATTGCGTGATTTGTGATTCCCCGATTTGGGACTTCTGTAGCGTATATATATATTATATATAGACGTAGAGGGAGACAGGAGGTGTTTTTGTATAACAGCACGTTTTTTTGTGAAATTTATAAAAAGGAAAATGTCGCGAGAGATTTTTTCCAAGCGCGTCGTCGAAAAAAAAAGTCTTTTGACTGACAAGCGTTTAGGGAGTCGGACGAAAATTTCACGTCACATACATATTTGAACAAAAAATTAGCGAATTTTGTTTAATCCCTTAAAATTCAAGCGATACATTTTATCTTATCTTCTGTATTAGGATAATTCGTAGATAATGCGTTCATATATGACATATGATATATATAGAAGCGAGGCTCTCTCTCTCGTAGTCTTTTAATATTTCTTTGGATTTTGAGTTAGAACTGAAAATAATATCTTAATTTTAAAAAATAAAATTATTTGACTGAATTCATAATTTCTCAACTTTATCAATTTTTTAAAAAAAGTTACAAACGCGAATACTTTTTTTGCTTCTATATATCCTTCATATAACGGAATGCCGAGTGTTTTAATAAAAAATAAATGTCAGCGTCTTGAATAAATAGTCATACATTATCCGGAAAGAAATCACTGAGTCATGAATTCATGGAATATACTCTTTCTGGAATAAGAATTCTCATAAACTCGATTTAAAAAAAAAAAAAAAACGACCAAAGTATATAGCGGACGGCAAATAGCGTAAAGTTTTCATAAATTTATTCGCATAATGTAAAATGATGATTCGAAAAATTATGGTTAGGAGATTAATTGAATGAATATCAAAAAAATTTCTGATACGCGAGCAATCGCTACATTTTTAAGGTGCGAATCGCAGTGGATAATAAAAGCCTTCGTGAAAAAAAGACCGTTGCTTCCTTCCACGTGTGCTTGCGATATAAGATACAGTCGATGTAATCGCTTTATGCTAATTCGTGCATTGGAATTCATACGTAGCGAAATCTCACACGCGCGAGACGGACTAGAAAACTTACTTACGATATTTGAGGAAATAAAAATGCGTATTCGATAATAAATTGTTCGAAGTGGTCTTAAATTTCCTTGAACGGTTGCTTCCTTGACGTTCATATTGTAATTTCTAAGCCCCTTTTATATATAAAAGTAACGATCAAAGATGGTCTACAACAATAGTAAAAACACATTGATATATCCGCTACATATCTTAAAAAATTCATAAATTACAGATAGAGTCGGCGTTTTTATATTTGCGTAGAGTTTTGCGAATCAGCTGATATACAATCTCTCTCATACTTGCAACATTCTCATATTGTGCCAAAATGTGTAAATTTGAAAATTTGGTGTAATGTGTGCGCTTTTTTGTCTAATTTTACCGAATTGGACAATAAACATATTTTTTATTCTTTCCAGTTTTTATTTGTTTAATATTAATGAATACAAAGTAAAGAAAAAAATGTCACGCACACAAACTGACATATCATTTTTTTCTAGTTTTAGTCTCGTCAGCTAAAAATTTTAAATGAATATTTATATGCCCGCACAGACATTTATTAAATGTTATAGATAAAAAATAAAAAAAAAATCGAATATACAATTAATTAACGACAGAAAGATTTGAATGCCAAATAATGTAAATCCGAATAGTCAATATTTATTTGCACGAATTTTAAAATAAAAATAGGCTATTTTCTCCCTTCTATCTTTCTAGCTTTTACTGTTTATACATTTTTTTCGCGTATTTTTTTTAATATATGATACGTCTCTTTATGTCACAGCAGTGATAATAATTACAATAAGTAAATTAATAATGCAAATAAAATTTGCTCTTGAAAAAAATCCGTTCTAATATTAAAGTTGAATAATACGATGGAATATATAAGCAGATCACGATGAGTGACGTCGCTCTTAAATAGATTCATCGCAGTTGCAATATATAGATAAATGAGAATATTCGCTTCCTGTAAAAAATATTAACGCACAAATGCGCACACATCATTATCGGGGCAAATTGGATTTGTTAAGAGGAAAAGGCATCGACGAATAAACGGCTCGAAAAAAGAGCAACGTTTTAACGAGCGCAGAACGGCGTGACAGGAGTAAGTGAGGTGGAAAAGAAAAAACGAGAAGAGGACGGTTAATGAGGAAAGAGGGAAAGTCGACGACTACCGTTAATGGTGACAAGAACGATATTCGATTTCCCGCAACGAAATCGATCGAGTCAATTAATCGTTGCGTGAATATATAAATTCGTCGCGACGCGAAAGCGCTTTCGATGTACTATATACGTATATGCAAAAAAAAAGAAAGAGTAAAATTTCAAAACTGCCAATCTCTTTCCACTTTCATTCGCGATATAGACGACATATATAGAGAAGGGACCCAGATTTCTCAAAGCTATTTTTTTATCGCGTTTTTAAATAATCGCGAGAAGACCTCGGAGAAATAAAATTCTGTCGTAAAATACAGGCGAGCGATTTTTATCGATGTGCATGTATATTGAAATCACGAAATTACGTGATATATACATATAGCGTGAGTATAAGTGAAGTTTGATGAAATTTTTACAAAGTAGTTTTTTTACGCTACTCAACTTGATTTTTTTTATATACAAAGATAAGCATACACCTGTTTGATTTCATGTCCTTTATTATTTTTGTAATATTTTTTGATAAAGGACAACCCAAAGGAAATCTTTGACGTAACTTCTCGCGAATCCTGTCAAACGCGAGGAAACCAAAAATCTATTATTTCAATATATTATTATTGTACTTACGAGAAAGAATTCGTGCGATTCTCTTATTTTTTTCATAATTTATCGTGATTTCGCTCATCGATTACCAATAATAATCGATTTGATATATGAATAGTAACGAATAGCGAATATATAATGATGAATAATAATTATAGATTCATGCGAGATAGTCGCGTTACAATAAAGGATTAAGAATGTAAGATTCATCGGCAACGCCGATTACTTCCGCAAATATTGCGAGGAATCGATTCGGCAAATTTTATTGGATGAGAATCTAATAATTAAAAGTTTTAAAAAGAACCTCTTCCACTCCTTTACTTATAGATTCTTATCATTATCAAATCTATTATCCTAATCATATATATTCCGAACATGTCCGCTCGAGAGAATTGCCTAAGTGTAATAATAATTAACTATAGTATAATAATCATCGTAACAATTACGATCGATGCAATGCCAAACGAGAAACAATATATATTTACGTATTTTCAGTGTGCGATTAATCATTAATTGGTCGGATTTTTTTATGTTCCATCAACATATGAAATTGCAAATATAATAATTTCTACGACCGCAATTGCACATTTTTTAAACGCTTAGAAATGTTCTTCTTTTAACGTGAACTTCTTATTCTCAAATTGCTTTATTATAGCTATTAAATTATCTCGATAAAAATTCAACAATTAATTATTGAACAACTCTTTCCGTGTGTTCTTGATCGTTTAAATTTATGCGGAATGTACGTACGCGTGTGTTGTATGTATGTATATTTTCGACTGAATATTAGAATTTTCTTATAATAATATATTATGAAAATGTATCTTTGTCATATCAAGATAGTGATTAATTTAAATAGATATTGACCAACTTTTTCGATATCTATATATACCGCCGTTTAAATTCAACGTTGCGTGCAGTTCTTCTTTTTCATGTGTATAAAATGACAAAAGATTTCGTATGAATAACTACACGTAAATATTGATAAATACACAAGTTTAGTATCCTAAATTAATTTCCTAACCGTATGCGTGTGTAGCAAAAGTATCGTAAAAATGGCGTGTGAGCTGTACATTAAAACGGTCAAGGACTCCAAAGGAAACTTAGAAAACGGCACTACTAGGCAGCTTCTAAAAATCAAAATTAATGACAAAAGTGATGAAAATCTTGATTGTCCAAGAACGTGTATAGGTATTATATATATATAATATTATGACATATTAATATTGTTGATCGTTCGAGTGTTCTAATTGACGAAAGAGGAATATGTATACATGTGATCTCTTTGTTAGTTGAATGGTCAAAGAATGCGGATCCAAATCTTCCCTTTTATCACTTTTCTTTAATTTAGCCAATTATGGTTTCTAAATGAAAGTTTATGACTTGTATAATCCTTCGAAATATTATAGGGCGAATAAATGTTCCAAATAACATTGGAACTTTTTATTCAAATGTACTTGTTCAAGTAAATTCTAATGCTTCTAATGTAGAAGTTTTAATCTAGCAGTTTTTTGAATGGTTTGCTAGCCTTAACATAATATTTTTTTAGAGGTGAAGAAAGGGAAGAATTTGGTCGCATTCTTGAATTTAACGAGAGCGTAAAATTAAATACCGAATGAACGAATGGCGATGATTGTTTTGTGCGCGTTCTACATTAGCATCTACGTTTCCCATCGTTTCACTTTTATTTGAGGAAGTCATATCGCATTGTATACACTATAGGATTATTAGTCGTAAAGGAAATATAAAGTGTATCTTACATGTGTATTTATTCTATAATTACTCCATTACTCCTTGCCTCAGTATCACAGATAAATGTAAGTGACAAATAAACGCGATCACGATAATTCTGTTGTTTAAAAAAGTTATTGTACTATAATTATTTTGACTTTTAATTTAAAAAGTTATATTGTTTTTAAATTCGCATGCTTCTGTTTCGTCAATAATAAAAAATCTGATTTCAAAAATCCGATCGCGAGATGGAAACTGAGAATCTGGAACCCGAGCGTGAAAATGGCGAATGCAAACTGGACTTGGAATGCGCAGCCGTCGCATACACTAACTATCTGAATAATTTTACCATCATCGTTTAGAGAACAATATACCTACTTGACGCGAATATAGACGTGTCATTAATTAATAAACATATTCTATTCATCTTTAACAATTTCTTTGATTAGATTACGTAAAGATGTCAACTTCAGCGTTCAGATTTAATCTATTGCGTGCATTTTTTCTCTCCGAAGTTGAGACGCATCACAGAGCAATAGAACAATTAAAATAATTGACTCGTTCATTAGACATTAATGAGAAGATACCTTTCGCGATGCCTATTTTTAAAAGATTAATCGCCGACATTTTATAATTTCCTGAAAGTCATCGAGATTGTTTACGACATACGTGAGATGAAAAATGGTTGTTCGTGTATAAGTAACTTATATAATCTTTTGGCCGACATATGAATGATATACAATCGCCATTTTCAATTCCCCGGAAACACTATCTAATTTTGTTTAATCCCATAGCGAAAAAAATGATTCGCCACCTCTTTCGACTACGATTACAAAATATGTAATCAAAACATGCCATGGATCGCCGACATTTTAGGATAATGTGAGACCCGTATGGACCACTTTGTAGTTGCAGGTCTACCAGGATGGTAGAAGATCGGACAAGATCTTTTAGCTTAGCTTCCCCTCCTTCAGTCGAAGCTCGTCGACGCAGGTAGCCAGAAGGATGATTTCAATGATACGTTTGACGCAGGCAGGACCCACGTTATCGGGAAAGGAGGGAAGAAGAGGTACCTTTACAAAGTATACACCGCGCGATGCCTGTATCTTCGACAACTTACATTAGAGACGCGAAGAGAGTCAGCCTGCGGCCGCGTGACTCGGCCGCTGATTGGCTGCAGCCTCCCCGGGGAAGTGCGTCGGAAGTGAAGAGGGCTGAGCGCGTTCGGGGCGAGAACAAGGCACGGTTACACCACGCGGGTTTAGACTTTGGCTTTTTTTTCGGTCAAATTATACATTTCGCCTCAACCAATTTTAGTCTGGCAGCCAAATTCAAAATCAGTAATCTAAGCTATAATCTATCAAATATACAATTTATATAATCTGTATATCGATGTATTCTACATTATATTAATAATTTTTTAATAATTAATATAAAGTAATAATCCAATCATAAGATATTCTATAATGTTATATATATTTTATACATTTTCCGACAGACTTGTTGGACAAAGTTTAAAACCGACTTGAAGTTTGAAGCAAGTTGTTATAACCTATAGACTGACGTCGAATGACGTCA